TAATCATCTCTTAAATTAGCAGTCCAGAGACTTTAAAATATTTTTTACATTCAGCTTTGTTGTTGCTGCCCACATTAGTTCTAGCCGTAAAGGGAAATTTATATTCAAATTTGTGTTGTTCTTAGCAGAATTCTGCTGGGACCCTCACATACGCAATTATGGTATTATTTTTATACTATACTTTCGGCAGTTCTTCAATATTTTGTCTTCCCAAATAATAGATTACTTACAGTGTTGCCAGAATCCTGTCATATACAAGGAACTTTGATCCAGATACAGAATTTTTGTCAAGCTTGCACTCAGTCAAAGAATGTATTGATTGCAAAGCCTTAGCCTTCATAAGAAAAGAGTGTTAAAACTAAGCTCTTGTTTGCGATCAGAGCTTGTCCTGCATTTAGAGCCATCTGGCAACTACCTGATAAAGTCTAAATTAATTTTTAATCTGCAAAACGGGTAGGAGTACTATTCTGAAAAGACTAACTAACCAACTAACTTTAAATTCAGCTCAGCTAAACAGTTTCACCTCTCCATTATGAAACACACATTTGCTCCCTTTCTATTAAGCAGCTTTATTCACATTTACCTATCTTTGGATTCTTCCTTTAAATACAACAAAATAATCATCTGTTTTCTAGTGTTGCAGTTCCCTTTCATAGGACTATAAATAACATGTTCCCAAATCTAACAAAAATAAAACTTTCATTGCAGTGAGTTTGACAAACCAAAACCTTTTAGGAGTGAAATAGACACAAATACAGAAAGAAATTATACTGAAATGAAAGCATGCTGCCCAGTCAAATAAAAACTTACACACCACTGCAATAGATTACACATACACAGTAGCATTGTGAACTTCTTCTTTTGCAACATTTAATATAAATCAGTAACTGTAAGAGTCTTACAGTCTGTGCAAATAGCCATAATATTAATCAGTCTGTTAAATAAAAGTAATAGAATTAGCAAAGATTAACTTTTTTGACAGATATCAGTTCTGAGCACAGTAATTTGTTTCTGTGGATAAGATAGTGTTCTAGTAAAGATATGTCTAGATCATGTCACCAAGAATAATTGCTTGCCACATTACCAGTCAAAATTGCTCAGTGTTCTATTAAAGGAAAGAAAACACAATCACTTTATAATCTTAAGGAAACTTGAGCAAACAATTGTCAAGGAAATGAATGGACTAGTTATTTATCAAGTAAACTGCAACACTAATCTAGTTTTGTTTGTATTTTAAGTTCTTCTGCCTGAAACTATTTCCAGCAACTCATTTAATGCAACCTAAATTAAAACTAGAATAGGAATATCCCCAAAATTACATTTGTCTTAGCTAGCTATAATCAAAAGCTCATTTGCAAGCACCTGCAAGCAGCATCTGTTGCCAAATAGAGAAGGCAATATTATGTTTCATTTGACACAATAAATTTTCTGAAGTACAGAATTTGAAACGTTTGCAGAACAAAGAACTTTTTGTAACCATGCCTGATTATAATTATGAGTAGTTCGGCACTGCTGAGGTACCTTGGAATGCTCATTGTTTAACCTGGAAACAATCTACTAAAACATGGTGTATTACCTGAGAATATGCACAAAATAAAGAGTCTCATTGTCTTAATCACTAGAATGTCAGCTTGGAAAGCATGTAGAACTTGAAGTAAGTGAAATAGCAAGTAGAAATATTGTGATCAAACTATTTTGTGCTAAAACAGTTTGAAGCAAAATAAGTAAGTAAGCAAATAAAGTAAAAATCCAACAAGAACAAAACAACCCCCCCAAAACCAACAACCAACCCCCCCCAAAAAAACAAACAAACAAAAAAATAAAAACCCAACTGTCCCAAAACAGCAAGTAAACCAAAACCAAAACAAAAAGAAACATAGACCAAAAAAAAATCCCAATCCCCCCAAAAAACACACACCAAAACAAAACTTTAAACACCAAAAACCTCCCCAAACAAACAAACAAAAACCAACCCAACCCCCCACACACACAAAATATCCCAAAAAACCCACAAAAAAACCACCTCAGAGTAAATCCGCTAAACCAAACCAAAACACTGAAACAAATAACTGTCATAAAATACAAGGACTGGTTATCTTTTGTGAATACATAACTATGAAAGATGACTTAAAGATTTAAACAGCTACAAGACTGCTATCACATGCTTTTATTGGACTTTTCTCTTTTAAAAAAAGCTTCCAATACAATCTAAGATAGAGAAAATGTAGTGTCATTTTACTAAAACACTAATGACCATTCAAGAGTTCATGATAGGCTTATTTTTCCAAGGTTATGTTATATGCCTGTAACTAGCTACAGCAGTCTTCACTAGCATCACCTGCACTCTCTCAAAACCACAAATATCATGTATATTTCTGCCAAACCTTTATATCCAGAAACTTTTATGCCAAACTCTGAAAATCAGATTTCTTTTCAATGCAGCAAAATGCAGATAAATAAAGCAGTTGCATTTAGTGCCACCATCAAAAATTGAAAATCTGCAGAAAAATTTAGTTATTTCATTAGGAAATCACGTCAGTAAGTTTGTCCAAACAGTCCTTTGCAGAATTAAGTTTGTGGTGGCAGGCATGGTCTGCTCTTCCTTGTAACCTCATAAAACTACATGTAAGGTCTTCCTGTTGCTAGATCAATTTCCTCTCAATAAGAAGTCTATTGTACTGATGTATTCCAAAAAGCAAGAAGAATGAGGGGCTCTGCGCAGCATGCACATTCCAGAAGAATCATTACTGTACAATGAGTCTCTTTTTTCCTCTTCACGTAAATGCCAGTCTGATGTCAAGATCACACCAAATCTGAATGGCAAGTAATGCTCCCTTGAGGTGAGATTTTCTACCGAAATAGTCACAGCGGAAAGCACCAGTCCCCAAGGTCTGGCCTCTGATTTCAGCAGGTGACTGCTCATCTGTGAATTATGCCCTGGCTAGTGACACAGTTGTGACTGACATCTTAAACATACTAAAACCACCAGCTACGTTCTGGGAGAATATGGTATGTGTTAGACAGAGAAGCTGCCTGCTTATCTGGTGTAGAGGCTGAGCTGGGAGAGGTTTTAAAGCACTGCCAATATTCCAGAGATACGGGCCTAATTGAATTAACCCAGCCAAGTATTCTTTATTAAGTAATGGCTGAAATCAAAGGTATCTGTCCTTTTGCTGCTTGTTATCATGACAACTGTCTTGACCTGGATTATAACACACATATTTAGGTTTACCTGATTGTCTCTAGACAGGCATGGCTGTGTAGGGAACTGCTGGTTAACTAAAGGGAAAGAAGCAAAGTCATAGGCAGACTGGCAGGATGACCTTCTTCAACCTGCTGGCACTGCTCTTCCTATTGTACCTGGGATACCATTGGCCTTCTTAGCCACAAGGACACACTGCCAGCTCACAGAGCAGTTTGTCACCTTACTCAGGCTTGGCAGCTTTCAATGCTCATTTTAACATCCTGGCTTTCTTTTAATATTACCTTTGTAGAGTAAAAAAATGACAGTAAGCTAAACAAATGCTTATTTCATAGAATGTACAGAGTCCCAATATTAGCATTTAATAGAGGTGTTAATTCCAAACAAACAACTGCTACTTAGACATGCAGAGAGAAAAGATGGAGAAATTACCCTACTCTTTCAACATACTCCGCAACCTTCCTGATATTTCAAAGTACTGATGAAAGAGCTTACTCTCAGCTTTTTCCATAAGGAAGATCTGTTCTTCATCACTGCCTTGATTTGCTTCAGTTTACTTGTCAAGATTTTTCTAGGAGCTACAGCTTTTGGCTAACTCTGTTTCAGTCTAAACCAGCTTCTCTTAAAAACAGGCAATGCATTATAGGCCATGAGAGAAAATGGATTATCTCTTTCTACAGCTTTTCTTCTGCTGCACTGATTCAATCAGTCCTGAGGAAAAGGCTCTACACTGAACCTTTCAGTTCTGAACGTATCCAAGGCCTAAAGCAAAAAGGCTTCACAGAATGAAAAAGAGCTACAGGAGGATCTCAGGGAGTATCTACGTGTATCTCCTCAGGGTCCAACAATTAGTAGGACAGACATTTCTGAACCTGCTGACTGCCAATTTTCTTTTATAACCACTCACAAATTTGAATTCAATAGCTTTTTTTGCAAGTTCATATGTAATCTTACAACATATTTTATGGCAGAGAGTTTCTAATACAAAGCTTTATGTGAGGTACTTTGATTTAAATCTTTTCTGGTATTTTACATGGATGAGGTTTGATTTTGGTATAAAAAAGAACGAATGTTGCATCTTCTTTAGAGCACTTGCTCATAGACTATCCTATCTCCTCAGTGCTTTGGTTTGGGTTTGGTTTTGGGAGGCGAGTGGTATGGGTTGGTATTTTTCTTCTTTTTAAACACAAGAGGCTACTGAGTGTTTAACATTTTCTCCTCTGCTTATCAATGTCATTAAAGAAGCAGTAATCCAGCGTCAATTAAGTGTCTGAGCAATATTAATAAGAAGGTGAAAGGATAGCAGAATACAAAGCATTTAAACACAAATGAAGATAAAACCCTTAAGAGACAATGCTATAAATCTAAGCCAAAGAATGTAGTTATTTGAATCCTTAATTAAAAATACTGCAAGGTAAATGTGTACAGATTCGTCAGACTCTAAAGCTCATAGGTGAGTAAGAGAGGTTAAACTACAACAGAAGGGTAGTTACACAAGCAATATGAACCAAAAAGAAGTCAATGTTCATGCACAACAGCACATACCACAGTCTATACTCATCAGCTTAATCACCAGTTGTGAGGGCAAAATGAACAGCATTCACTCAAGACACAAGATGAATGATTTTTTTGCTTAGACCATTTAAGTAGTCTAAAAAGGGCAATTATACTGGAACTTATATTAGATTGGTCCCCCTTACCTCTCCCATGTGTCCTTACATCATCTTTACAAGTCATTACATCAAATCACATAAACATCATCCTAAAAATCATCACACAAAAACATTCTATGATAGTATACAAATCTTTATTTTTTCATCAATTAAAAAATCAACAAAGTTCCTCTCCCAATAAACAACAATCTGGTTAATAAAGGACAAACTTGATTTTCCAAAGTTTTAGTCACTACAAATATGCAAGAGTAGAATTTTTATACAATACAATAACAACGGCCACAGAAAGGACTGAGATTACACAGAATGTCAGCATTGAGTCAGAAGGTATCTCTCAACTGACGTAACTTAGAAGCTGTAGAGATCAACAGAACAGAGACCCATTGAGAGCCTTGATAAACTAGGTCTGAAAAAGTGAAGGTAGATAGTGTAAGGCAATATAGCACAACACAAAATGGGCCATTTGGGAAGCATGAAGTGAAAGGTGCAGATTCAACATCTGCTGCACTTTGCACAGAAAGATGTGTCAGCTTTCCAAGTGTTTATCTTGGAACCAATAAAGTATTTTGCAAATGCTCTGAGAAACAAACAAGGCATAATACATCCTTGAGAGGATACCTGTTTGTTAGTTCCAAATGTTTGCAAGGCCATGCACTCTACAGAGTACAAGAAAATACAAAAGGAAATTAAGATGACTTCAGGCAATGTAAGAAAGCTAAGTGATGTCGAAAATAAAATTTTTAAAGTAAAAAGAAGTGTTAAAATCTTTGTCTATTACATCAATTAGCATCTTACAGAAGCAGTTCAAAAAACCTTCCACAATGCAAATTTTCATATAACACTGAAGTTCAACTGTAAGTTGTTAAAATAGATTCCTTTTTTTTTTTTTCCTCACGTCATGCTCCTAAATATCCACTTCAATTAAAAAAAAAATACAATGAGAAGTGATGGTTGATACTAAGAAAGCTTACTATGAAACCTTAGTATGTCCTATCCCTGAATTAAGAGTACTGGTGTTGTTTTGTTTTCAAGTGCATGTGTAGGTCATGCTACTTGTGAAAAGCTTGGAGGCGTATTCTCTTTGGATCTTGTGGATGTCTCAGGGCAATTCCATATCGGAGCAGCAGCTCAATATAAGGTGGCCAAAATGATTCATTGATTGTTATGTAAGGTTCAAATGGCGTGGTAATTAATTTGTTCATCACATTCTGGAAGACCAAAAGGATAAGATTTAGGAAATTAAGAAAACAGCTACATTTTTATCTTCTTTAACCAAATTTATACAAATAACTGTGATGTAGGCAATATAAGAAATAAAGGACTACAGAAGAAATATGAGATCTGTTCAAAGTAGAAATAAAGCAAAGGACTTCCAATTAACTTCATAACATCTTTTTAAATGTAAAAATTAGAAGCAGAATCCTCTTTTTTTCCAGAATAAATGTAGATTAAATGCAGTATCTAAATACAGAATTATTTAACGGAGTTAAAAACAAAATCAGTTTTGTCATTCTTTTCCAGTTCATGGAGATCATGTTCATGCCCTCATTATATTGTTCATGAGGAGTACTGCACACATTACAGATTAAATAATCTTACCCATCCCGTGGTGCTCTTTCTACCTATCCTAGACATTTCATCTTTCTGTTCAGAGCTTTTAAACGTTATACTTCCCCAATTTCAGTAAATACAAAATATTGTTTGTCCCTTAGTGCTAAGAACAAATTCAAAATCCTTACTACCAGATTTTATATTTTTGCATCCACTGCTACTAATAAAAGACCCAAAAAAACAACTGCTCTTCTTTCCCAGAACATTCTGAAGACTTGTTCCACTTAATGTCTTTTGTACTTCCAATTATGAGAACTTACTCCAAATGCATTATTCTAGACAAATTGTTATTTATTTTTTTCTGACATCTGACACTCTAAAATAGCCTTTATTGCTGTAACTTTAATCTCAGAAAACATTTTTCAAATTTATCAAGGACTTGAAGCTAGAATGACAAAAGAAAACAGAGATAAGGGATAGACAGAAAACAAAGATAAGGGACATTGACACTTTAGGTCAGGATGTTGAAATTCAAAATGAGTCTGAATTCTTCTAATAGTGTGTTCTTCAAAATGGAAGTTAGGTGTTACCTGAATATGCTCACATTTTCAAGAAATTAACAATATCAGAGAAATATGAAGAGCAATTTTAAAACTTTAGAGGAACTTTAAAATTCTTGTTCCATAAGGGCTGTGGCTATGCTAAATTCTAATCAGTTTTCAAGCTCTCCCTCTTTTGGCACTAACAGGTATACTGAGATATTTGAAGCATGTAAAATTATTTTGATGATGTAAGCTCAAAGCTTGGGCTTTAAACTATCTACAATGTCATAGTGATTAGATAATGCATCTTAATACCAGAAAGTTTTTATAACATCACGTTTTGCCTCAAGAAAAAAAATTTTCCCCAGGGACAACTTACATATAGAAGTCTAGTTTGATGAGGAGTAACAGAAAATTTCACTTCAAATGCTACATTTAAGACAAGAATTATGCTTTGCATTTTATGTTCATAGGTTGTACTGCAATTAAAAATTCACACTAAGCAATGCTTGTATACTTATAAAATCAATTAGAAATGCATGAATCAGATTAATTGATTACCTTGTATGAGTCAATAATCCAGTTAATGCACAAGACTATTGGTCCTTATGAGGCTACATATTTATTAATCTTTCTGTTAATGTATATTTCAGAAATATGTTTCTTGAAACAGGATAAAATAGAGCATGAAATGGACCAATTTTCTGTGTTAAACATAGTATTTGTCTCTCCAAACATGAACCACTAAGTCACATAAAACTTCTTCAAACTAAACACTGTAAAATCAAGAAATAAGAGATAGTTGTTCTCCAGCCTAAACTGAACATTATTGCCACACTTCTTGTAACAATTTGGGGTTTACTTTGACAGCAATTAAAATAGAAAACTGACCTAGATTCATAGAATGGTTTGGTTTGGAATGTAGCTTAAAGATAATCTCATTCCAAAAACCTTAAAGCCCCATCCAACCTGGCTTTGAAGACTGCCAGGGATGGGGCATCCACATCTTCTCTGGGCAACCTCTTCCAGCGCCTTAGCACCCTCACAGTAAAGAATTTCTTCTTGACAGCTAATCTAAATCTCTCTTCTTTTAATTTAGAACTATTCCCCAGTGCAAAAAGTTGCTCTCCGTCTTTTTACAAGCCCCCTTTTAGTACCAGAAGGCCGCAATGAGGTCTCCCTGCAGTCTTCTTGTAGACACAACATTCTTAATCATTCTAGATTGTCTTAACTAAATGCCACATACTGTTGTTTACATTAATAATAAACGCTTGATGATTATCATCATCATTACATCTGAATATTTAAAAATTCCTCAAATCTCTACATAGTTAAAGCATCCTACCTCTAAAATTTCCTTCAATGTTATCAGTTCTACAGCTGGCTCTGCAGAAGACTTCTGGAAAGATAACCAAATTAACAAAACCCCAAACTAGTCAGTAAAAATGTTAATTGATGAAGTAAAATAATTACACAATTATTTGACTGCATAGTACACAATAGATGAAAACTTTTACTTAGATTTAGCCCTGACAGAAATACAAGGCAGCATTTAAATCTACCAGTTCAAAATCCTACACTTCAAATGTAACATTTTTTGAATTATCAAGAGAGATTAATCTAAAGAGATCATAATGTTTTTACCTATGTTTACATTTAAATAAAACCAGGTACATCACATTTATAATGTGGTACAGAACCTTCTATGAACCAGATTTGTTAGAGAAAAAAATATTTTTCATGAGCTTTAAATAATACATGTTTATAATGTTTTAAATTATAATGTTTATAATACAAATAATACACCGCTCAAGACTTCATTTCACAGTACCTTAATTTTTTTCAAGACTTGACAGTGAATACTTACTTACTTGCTTTGATTTCAACTAAAAAATTATCAAGGTTAAGAAATAGAATAATTAAAACTTTTGGTGGAAAAAAAGGCAATGATAAAATATCACTAGAAGATTATTTGTTTTCCTTTGTAGCCAGCAAATCAGGCCGTTTGTCTACAGATTCCTTTGTCAGCAATGTCAGAGGATCTGCCTGTACTGTTGCACGGTAAACCTGATTCTTAAATTCTCCAGTTTTATTCTTTTTCCCCATGCAACTCAGTTTCAACAAAATAAAGGAGACAGTATTTCACTAGCTTTCTCAGCATTGCTGTTGAATATATCAATTTAAGTCCTAAGATATTACCAGGTGTGCAGCACCATATACAAACTCCAGTTCTGGAACAGAGGAAGATTACAAGCAAGATAGAAGAACAAGTGAAAGGCAAGTTCTGGATCCTTTTCTCCAGTCACTGTTTGTAATAGTCTGCAGAAAGTCAGAAGTTTCAGTTTCCAGGGAGAGCCTGCTCCATGGAAACTGCAAATCCTGGAGCTATGGCCCAGCAACATCTATCGATGCGTCTTTATCTTGATACTCAGCTGAGGAAATAGAATCTACATTACCTATCTGCAAAAAGTTCCTTAGAGCAAACGAAGGTACTTCACAACCTCTGCTGATATATTTCCCTGGCCAAAATTACTACTAATATAGTAAGTACTGCTGATCACTTAGTACTTATAAAGTCATTAAGCAGGATGTTCAGCATTTCATTATTTAGCCTGAAATGAACCTTCTTAATCCTTCCAGTGAGACAGATTTGCATAAAGAATATTCCTCAGCCTTTGATTTTTCGTATTATAATCTTTGGGGGAAAAAAAAAAAAAAAGTCGATTTTTATCCTAGATTTAAAATGCAAAATAACCGTTACTACAGTCACTGCCTATATTAAAGGTGTTGGGCCATGGCACTGGAAGCCAATGTGAGCTGCTGTGATCCGGTCCTCACTCCCACTCCCAATCCTACATGCATGTTGCCAGGTGAAAGGAGGGTGGAGCCAGACCAGCAAGGCTTGAAGCAGTTCAAACTATGCTGCAGCCATGTCCTACAGACATCAATCCTATACAGAACCACTGTGAATGCAAGATGCTTCCACGAAGTGAAGCAAAATTACTGATGTGCAGAGTTAAGAGTTTGACACTGTGAGACTGTTGAACCAAGCTGATAATAGCAGTGAATAACGTGTTCTCCTGAATCAACATAGCAGCAAATTTCAACGCCAGTGATTACAATTTGTATTTCTGACACTCAATAAACGTAGGCAAAAATGGCTGGCTGTCCTGCATTCACAGTAAATTACTCAGATGCAGATTAGGGGGTACCTCTAGTTAAGCCAAGTGATCCAAGTGAGTCAAATGATATAGAAAAGCTATGAATCCACAAAGAGTGAAAAGAAAGAAGACTTGTCAGAAAACAGACTCTGTTTAAGAGGTCAGGAAATGCATAAATAAAATTTAAGCTAAGAAAAGATAAAACCTTGTGTTGAAATTAATCAAAGCAGTTTTTTTGTTTAAGTAAAGTGATTGGTGAAAGCCAACATGGCTTCATTATAGACCACCTGCACCCAACAAATTTAGTGGCCTTCTACAAGAGTTACAGTATTTGTGGAAAAGGAAGAACAACTGATGTCATCTACCTGGACTTGTGCAGTGCATTTAACACTGTCCCACATGAGGGTTTTTCTAAAATAGAGAGACTGAGAGCAAAATCTGTCATATTTACTAACATCAGGAAAGGAAGGCATCGGTATGCAGAAAAACTAAGATTCAACAAAATAAGATATTTGAATAATAATTCGAAAATTAACATCATGTCTTGACATCTCCATTTGGTATTTTTATGTGCAAAATATGTGCTTATGTGCAAAACAAAGACTTTTTTTAAAATTAAAAGATCGGGATTCATTAGCTGCAAATTACAGTCAGAAAAAGACAAGGGTGCAATTTGTTGCTTTGGTGACAGATGTGAGCTAGCAGTTTTATTTATAATATTGTTTCTTAGCAGGTTGCAAAAAAGATGAATCCAAGTGAAACAAACTATGAAAAAAAATACACAATGGGTATTACTAGGATAAGCTAGGGAATTGAAAAATACTGCCTTCCATGAAAATATAAAGGCATTTCTAGTTCAGGACAAATAAACACAAGAAAGAAACAGCTATTCTAAGGAAATTCTGGTGTAAGAATACCTGCTGATTGGTGTTAAGATACGGAAAGATTTAGACTGGAAGCTATCAGTTTCTAACCAGAGTAATGAGGTGTACTAGAAGAAAAAACACAGGAGAGACAGTAGGAAAAAAAAATATTTGTTCTAAAATGGAGCTCAATGATAAACTGAATAAATTATATTATGTGGTTACCAGGGAACTGGATTAAAGAAGTAATTTCTGCTTCTGTAATTTTAAGTGTGCTTGAAATCACAATCAAAACCTGCCTTTTTTCATAGCTTTTTTGTATCTATCATATAGTAATGGTAATTGTTTTATTTTTACTGTACACTTTGAATTTATTATGCAAAATATTCCCTGGCTGCCTATTTTCCCTGAAGTTATAAAATAATTTTTGACCCAGTTTGCCTGAACAAAATCTGATGGTTAACATTCCAAACTACTCTGTAATTATAAACACTTTTCCTTATTGTTCCAAAAACATTGTTAGACAATTAATATTTGCTTTGCCAAGGAAAATAAGAATCTACTTGCCCAGTCAAGTTAAAAAAAAAAAAAAAAGAAAAAATCAATTTGGACTGAACTCCACACCATTTCCAAATTTGGTATAGCTTGTAGTTGCTATGTATTGCTATGCATCTCATTGGGTAAAGGATATATGCATTAAGAAAAGAAATATCCACCTGGAAACAGCATTAAATAATATAAAACAACCTGAAAAATATAAATTAAAGCTAGAGGATCAGCTGTAAAAAACTACGCTTATTTCAAAATACAACTGCAGGTTTGATGCTAGTGACTTTAAACAGATATTGCATCTAACTAAATATAAACTGAACATTTCAAATATAATAGGTAAAGAAAAGTCTTACCTTTTTTTTATAATTTTCACCTTTCCCCGGATGGGGATAATGTTCATCCAGAAATCCACCCAAAGCATTCAAGAGCTCTTTCTTAAAGGTCCTTAATTTCCGTATTTCACTTTTCAGGTTACTGAATTCTCTAAGTTCCAAAAACCCAGTAAAAACAGCAATGGAACAAGGGATCAAATCAAGTAACTAAAAAGTCCTTCATAAGTAAAAAAACCCCTTATTATCTATGGTTAGAAATTCAACATCTTTAACCACAGGATATAGCAGCATTACTTTAATGTTTCAAATATGGATTACTGAGCAATTATGTGGTCTATTAACCAAAGCAAGGAATACATTTTTAGATTTTGCTTGCTCATTTGCTCCTCTTGATATTTAAATTCTTCAATTTATAGCTCAAAAATGTAGAAATACCTTTTTGTAGAAGGTTGTTCAACTTGGGTATTTTTGTCTTCTTCAGTTTCATTTACAGTATCTAGCATCCGTTTCTGTTCCTCATACCACTGCTGTTCTCTTTGAAAAGTAGAAAATGGCACAACAGATAAATAGTTTCCCTGGGCAGTCAAAAAAAAGAAGAAAGCTTACAGAATTCTAGAGTCCAAATTATTATATTACCTTTTCAGATCTTCTTCCAGTTTTTTATTCTTTGACCGAACTGCTGACAGCAACATTTCAAGCTCATTTTTTGTCTTCTGCAACTATAAAAGAAGAGAAATTAAACTACTGTTTGCAGGTAGCCCAAGCTGTAGTATTTGTTCTATGTAAGGCTACGTCTGTAAATCTGATAAAGAGGGACAAAATCATCTGCAATTCCTCAATAAACATTAAAATCCAGTTTAAAATGCGGGAGCTATTCAAAATGTCACCATAACCAGTTGCTCATTAGTGTTTTCTTGAACCTCACAGAGCTTAACAAAATGCTTAATTTTAGCTGAAGCAAATTGTGGAGCACACACATGAACTGCTCAACTGACAAATGACTGAGGAGAAAATGTCTACAGCACCAGGGCTCTATTGTCTAAATTATTGCAGCTGCTGGCAAGAATGAATCCATGCTACTTGCACCACATAAAATGTATAGAAAATGGAAGATGCATCAAAGAAAGACTAACTGCATCCAGTAATTAAATGATTCTCAGTGCTATGGATATGTCAGGGACAGGAAACTTGGAGAAATAAAACTACTGTACTCAGAAGCTATAGGCATTGTTGAATGTAGGGAACAGTGGACTCTCAATGGGCTGGGTCTTTCATTACAGAATCACAGAATGGGTAAGGCCGTGTTGAGGAATACCTTCAGTGCAGGTAGCTCAAGGTGCAGCTGCAGTGGGAGCTGCAGATTGAGCCCCAGGCAAGAGGCCATGAACTGCCAACTCTTTGCAGAACAAGGGCCCAGGGACATGTGGCTCTGCCAGGTGAGGGGACACTGAGACATGGCAGGAGCTGTTGATGCCTGGACTTGCCTTGTTTGCACTGTGAGAGTATAAAAAGCATTTTGTCTTTGAGGGTATAAAATCTCTTTGCTCTGGGTCTCTCCTCAGAGGCACCTAGCTCAAGCTGTTATTCTGTTACTATGCCATGATTAAATTATTTTAAGGATCAGGATGTGTGAGCCTAAGTGAAGAAGGAAACCTAGGGTTGAGCTGGTAAGGAAACCTGATCTGTCCATGTGAGTGTGAGATGTCTAGCTACCAATGGGCTTAGTGACTGACACCATGGCTCCTGCATTGTTGGATAGAGAAGTGTCCCTAACCACTGTGAGGGACCACAGTGGGTCATGTGGTCCAGTCTTCCTACTCAGGCAGGGATCATCCAAGAGCACAGGGCACAGGTTGCATCCAGGCAATTCTTGACAGACTCCAGTGAGGGAGACTCCACAACCTCTCTGGGTGATCTGTTCCAGTGCACAGTAAAGAAGCTCTTCCTTGTGTTCTTGTCCATCCCATTGCTTGCCATCACTGAGAAGAGCTGGCTCCATTCTCTTCAGATGCTTGTATAAATTGATGAGGTCCCCTGTTAAAGCACTATGGTCTTCTACAAAATAATGTTTCTTACATAAGCCTATGATTTGGATGCATTTTTTCTGCTTCCATACAAAATAGGAGCACTTGAGAATTTAGCTCAAAGAAATATGAATTCTGAAAATATGCTACAGAAACAAATACGCTCCATACATACAAGATCTGAAAAAAACTGTAATCCTCAAATATCAGAGCAACATACCATAGCTATACAGGCAAATCAAAGTGTGTAACCTAATAACTTTTTGATAGTGACTCTTAACAGCAGTAGGGTTTGCCACTGTGAGTGATACCAGAAGGCATTACACACAGGAATATTCTCAAGTCATATAGCATTCTTATATCCCATCAATATAGTGTAATGTTATCAGGAAGCATTCTTGATTTGCTCTTCCTTCCAACGGAGGAACTCAACAAACTATTTGCAAATTATTGCCACAGAACTCAATGTCTAAGATAACTGATTCTTCTGTATAACACATAATATGGCATAACTTTCTATTAAATATGAAATGCAATATATTATAATTTTCGGTTAAAAAAACACACACAAATATCTTAAAGGCAGGTGTCAGAGGATTGGGTCAGACTCTTTTCAGTGATGCCAAGTGATAGGACAAGGGGCAACAGGGACAAACTCAAATACAGAAGTTCCATTTGAAAATTAGGAAAAAAACTGCTTTACTGGAAGGTGACAGAGCACTGGAACAGGCTGCCCAGAGAAGCTGTGGAGTGTCCTTGTTCGAAGATATTCAAAAGCCACCTCGACACAATCCTGTGAGGCACTTAGCGACAGGGTTTAGTGGTGGATTTGGATGGTTGGACTCCATCATCTTAGAGGTCTTTTCCAATCAAACTATCCTATGATTCTATCTCCAGAGATCCCTTCTAACTCCAGCCGTTCTGTTATAAATTCCACTTAGCAATTAAAATTCAGTCACAGATCATCTTGAAAACACAATTCTGAGTGGATCTTCTTGCCCAAGCATTTGTGTAATGTTAACTGAAAGTAATCTTGAAAAGTACAGTGTGTAGGCTTCAGCCCTAAAAGTGGATCCTTTTGCATGATGTTAAAGATGATGGCTAAATCTTTGCAAGTCATGGTCATCAGGCTCCTTGGCACAAGATTTATCTCCTGGTGGCATCTAGCACAATGGGACTCCAATCCTAAGTGAGGCCTTGGAGCATAAATGCAGCAGGGATGTTGACTACCACATCATTTTTGTTTCATGTAGGTAAGTTCGTTGAGCTACTGTGATTAGGTGGTGTGTACAGAGGCAAAATACTGTTTACTGTGCCTTACTCACTGACTTGTGCAGTAAGTCAGTTTAAAACCTCACTCGTTACAACCAGGAAATTTTACTAGTTATACTACAGGGAAAAAAAGCATTAGAACAACATAAACGGCTGAAGGAAAATACACAGCATTTTAGCAGTAGTCCACTCTGGGAACAGTGATTGGAAAATGCAGCAATTGCATATACTGTTTTTCTTTTTTTCCCAACAGAATTTTATTGTCTCTAACGAACAAAAAGCCTTACCTCTTCTTTTCCTAATTCTAACAGTACATCTGGATTGGTAGAAATTACTGAAAAATAAAATGAATTGGTTATTTTTTGCATTAGATGATAAAGATTTATTGATACTAAAAAGCAGCCTGGCTAGAAAGAAATTTTTGTACCTTCTAAAAAACAGTTTGGCTGTCAGCAGCATTTTAACCACATGCCGTGGTGTCCTGCTGGGCTAACCTACTGTCACTATTCAGCAAGTTAAAATTAGATTAAAAAAATGCAGTGTTTGTGTGTCATTTTTCATACCTGAACGAGCTCCAAGTACATTGGTGTAGGTGCATAATGAATAAAACCCACATTTCTATACACTTCAAGACACCTGAACCTGCCTTTTTCAGCAGAAGGCATTCAATCAACGTTACCAATGTGGGCAATCAAATTCTTCCAGTCTTCCAATTCCTTGTTAAACAGCCACCCAAATGCTTATCACAATGATAGAACCTAATTTTTAATAACTCCAGAAGTATGTCACCATCCTTACTGTTCACAAGAACAGCTGTATGTAGGGAGATGAATGGCCCAGTAAGGCCAATATCCTAACTCAAACACTGAGCAAAAGAAATACCTAAGCAAAAGCAAAATACAATTCAACATGGAAATGTTTCCCCAGAATGCTTCTAGAAAATGCAGTGATTTATGACTCATGCATTTTCAAAATAAAAACTGAATTTTGTTTTTTTACATCATTCAACAAACTCCAGTCAATCCTCAGATCCATGTCAACTTGCAGCTTCTGCATAAATATATGACTTTTCAATATATACTCAACTATTTCAATATATTAACTGGAGAAATTAAAGCTATTCTAACAGATTAAAATCTTTATAAGAGATTTTTTTGGTGCAAGTTTGGGCTTGAAATCTCTAATCTTACAAATAATTATTTAAATAAAAAATTCCTTTAACAAAAAGGAAACCCTTAACCCTCTCATGACAGCATGAAACATTTCCTAAATACACACAGTCAGTTTAATAATTTCAGAAAAGTACTTTCATTGGAAATGTTATAGTACTTTCCTCAAACAATTTTAAGAAGCTTTAGATTAGTAGTTTTAAAAACACTGTTCTGAGATTAAAATCAGAAAAACTACTGAGTTAAAAATGCATTAAATTAAATGCTTCAATAAAATTCCTTTTACTTGAAGAATTACTGTTTCTAAATCTTGACACACAATTTGAGTACTGTGCTCCCAATTAAGCTTAAGACCTGTGGGAGATAGTAGTCTGTGCTTTATTAGAGTGAGATTTCTTTATTTACTTGAATATCCTACCTACACATGATAAAATTTATTGGTGCAATTTTATTCACATTCACTGGCACATTTGTATAATTCACGTATTGAAAAAAAACCCAAATAATTCTTCCCTCGGCCACTTCCTGCTGACATGATCTTTATAAGCCTTCCCTTACCAATTACTATCAATTTTTAAAACTGCCTCATAACACTTTTTTATTTCTAGATACCTAATCCTGAGTTCATGCTTGCCGTTCAGTGTTTATATTGTGTGAGTATCACAATAGAAGGCCCTGTCTTCCTTCACTACATTATGGAACAATGTAGATCTAAAACACTGGGACAACCCACTCCTGCCAGCTGCTGCTGTAAATTCACGGTTGCTCAATAAATCTTTTTCAGTTGTAGAATCACTACACTTGCAAAAATCAAACATCAGACAGAATTGCCTAGTGATACAAAGTACAACTACTAAGAAAAATACTACCAGATGCTAGGAATGTAAAAGCAACTACTATGCACATGTTTATACAGAAACTCATATTAAAATAAAACAAAAAGGTATTTGGCAGAATACTGCTATTTTGCAAAGAAAAACAGAAATTATGTGGATCACAACTGTTTGAAATGGTTTAAAATATGGTTGCTTTCACTTCCTGATTTTACAAAGGTAAAAGTGAAATGTTATTTTTATAACCCAAATAAAAAAAACTTTAAAGAAAGTTTTAATTCAGCTGATTTAGCAGATCTAGAGCTATATAAATACCAAAAATTGAGAAAGAAAAAGAGACTAAATGCTTTACAAAAATAAAATTTGCATCATGAATTCAAGTCTGTTTGCCAATATTGTGCTCAAAAAAATGTAGAACTGCCAAGTTATAACCTCTGAAAATAAGGTTTAAAATTGAAATGCTGACAGGTCCTCATTTACAGGAAATGAACTGGCCACTACTAAAAGCAAAAACCAAAGTAACAAGACAGCCTGACATTCATGGTCTATTAGTAAATTGTATTAAATCAGTATTTCTGCTATTTCTATTTAGATAAAATCAGACAATGTTTTCAATTAAGTAATTCCTCCTTCAAAACAAATAGTAGGTAGAAAGAAGCCAAGACAGAGAAGTAAGCAAAACGAACTCCTCATTTTCATACAAGCACCAGAACTATTTAAATTCTTATCAGCAACTTTTTTTCTTCCACTGGAAAGGGTGCCAAAAAAGGCAGAGATTTGGCTGTAAAATATTAATTATAAATAGATGATTTCTTTATTACAAAACTAAGATTTCTAAAAAGAAATATTATCATCTGGGAAGAAGTAAGAATGATTGAACAAAGCAAGTCCGCAAGCCAAAAAAATAGTCCAAGGGTATTTTTAAGCCAATAGCTTGAAGTTTAATATACATATTTTAGTACAGAAATCTAACTGCCTCAGGTATTTACCCAGATAAAAATAAGTTATTTAAATTAATTTGCTTTAAGCCAGCAGCTTATTCATGAACAGCAGCCAGGAACCAGTATGTTCCAAATTCATTCAATGATATGCCTTTGGTCTACATACCTCAGAAGCACTGGAGGCTGACAGTTCTTGGAATGAGGCTTACAACACTGAACTATGAATTCATTCTAACAGAGCAACAGTATCTATTTATAAGAAAGAAAAAATATTTTTCCCAGCTTCTCTTATTTTTTTATGAGATGCAGCAAGTACATAGACTTTGAAAAAAGTTGGAAAACTGCCTCTAATGTTGATCTGAAAAGGCATTTCCATTTGGCTAAATGACAAAACATTGGAAATCACCACATGTCCATAACACGTTCCTATAATTTTGCAAATACTACAAAACCAAGCCTCTACTGGCATAAAAATATTCAAATGAGTCAACATAATAATTTAAAGATTAACTAGAAGTTTTGCTGGATTGACAGGTGCTAACAGGTCCTTGACAGGAGACATAACCATAAGGACTACCAGAATACTAATGCTACTGTAGTGTGAACTGTTTTAGGAATCTCCATATGGGACATCTGAAAACAAAGATTACTTTACTCACACTTAGGTCCTGAGTGCTTTTATTTTCAGTGTCTGGCCACATCAGCCTTGCAAGAGAGTGAAATCTGTCAGCAATGGTGCTCATGTACAAAGAGAATTTTGAAGAACTGAGGAATTTATACCTCTTGACTGATAATGCCTAATAGACATAAGAACTACCACTAGTCTCAGTGGATGTATGCCTAATGTATCAGCTTCTTAAAAGACAAAATGAAGACAGTATTATTTGCCAACGTATTTCTGTTCTAAAAAATACATACAAATAAAAGATAGAGAAAAAAACAATCACAGAAAATCACAGAAAAGAATATGAAGGCGGGTAGGAGGATAATGAACTTTTCTTATTTGGCTAGAAGATCTGCTAATAGCTGTTTTTCCGTTGAACTGGCTGATGAATATTGGTATGAATCACACACTTACTTGTCCAGAATCACAGGATTAAGTTATAGTGGAATTCACTTTTAATTTCAAGACAACTTTGAACTGAAGTGCAAAAATTATGAGGAAATACATGCTAAATTTTTAAGCAGCATTAAATTTATTTTAATTTTTAAGCAATTATGGAATGAAAATACAATCAGCAGACATTCAGTATACTCACGGCCTAGAAGAAAGAAACTTTGCAGAAGTTTATATACGAATTCTTTACAAGAAAAGATTACTTACTTTCAGGATTTTTCACTTGCCACTGACGACACTCTACTGTTAAAGCTTTCCACTGCAGCATTAACAAGGAAAGCTGTGTAACAAGAAGAAAAGCACCTCTTGAAGTGTGTTGAGTTGCACTGGCATAAAATCAGGTATAACAGGATAGAAATTGCGTTATTAAGTTGATACAGGAGAAAACAAAAGAGCATCTATTATTATCTAATAGAACCTAGTCCCTTCAAAATATTTTACAGTCACTCACAGGGATCAAGAAACGTTTCTATTATTTTTTCAAAAAGGGAAAATGAAAAGGAGTCAGAGTTGGCAGAGTTCTGAAGGTCCTTCAGATGAAGGCTCATATAGGTGAAGAAATGCTTTCTGATGTCACCTCTGAACCTCCCTTCATATATTTCTGAACCATTCCCACACATAATACCACCGGGTATCAGGGAGAAGACATCAGCATCCCCCATTCCATTTCCCTGAGGAAACTGCAGAGAGGAATCAGGGCACACCTCAGTTCCTAGAAGCCCAAAGTCCTCAGCAGTTCCTCACTGGACATGCCTTCCAGCCCTCCCACCAGTTTTGTTGCCCTCCTCTGGATGCACTCAAGGACCTTCACAACTTTCTTAAAATTGTGGGGTGCAGAACTGCACTGAGCACTGCAGGTGAAGTTGCACAGCACTGAATACAGGCAATAATTGCCCTCTCCTGTGGCAGGCAGTGCCATGCTCAAGGCTCCCAGGATACCGTTTGTGCTCCAGGCTGCCAGGGCACACTGTGGGCTCAACCTGAGCTGCTGTCAACCAGCACCCTCAGATCCCTTCCTGCAGGGCTGCCCAGCAGCCACTCCTTTCCTGCGTTTTTTGGTGTTATTAAACGTCATGCCACTGAAGATTGTCCAATGTTCTAAGCTAGCCAGATCCCTCTGCAAGGCCTCTGGTCCCTCCAGAGTGTCACCAGCACCATCCCGTCTGGAGTCATCAGCCAGCTTGCTCATGGTGCATTCCAATCCTTCATCCAAATCACTGATAAACACATGGAACAGAGCTGGCCCCCGAGCTGCACCCCAAGGAACACCACTGGTGGCTGGTCACCAGCCAGATGTGGCCCCAGCCGCTGCACCCTGTGAGCTCTGCCCTTCAGCCAGGTCTTCACCCAGCACACTGTGAACCTGCTCATCCCACAGCTGCACACATGTCCAGAAGGATGCTGTGAAGGACAGCATAACAATGACATTTTACAAGAAGAAATTACATACGCACTGATTAGGAAAAGGTCCAAATAGGTATTGAAGTTACACCTTCTCCTCCCATTTTGCTGCCTACGTTAATCATTTATGGGTTGCATTTTTCAAAGTACTAACAGAAAATCTGTCCTTATCTTGATCCATGAGGCTTCAGTTATATTTCCTCTCCCCTGTCCAGATGAGGAGGGAGTGATGAACAGCTAAGCTGGCAGATAGGATCAAACCCACAACAGATGCACCTGAAGGAACTGGAAGGTGAAGTGGTAAAGCCACTATCCGTCATATTTGAAAAGTCATGGCACTCTGGTGAAGATCCCACTGACTATAAAAGGAGACATACAACCCACATTATTAAGAAGAGAAAAATAAAGATCTGGAAACTACAGATTGGTTAGTCTCACCTCTGTCCAGCATGACCATGGAGCAGACCCTCCTTGAAATTACACTAAGGCATGTGGAAAATTAAGAAGCAACTGTTGTTAAGCAATATAATTTTAAGGGCAAATCATGCCTGACAAATTTGGTGGCCTCCTATAACAGAATTACAGCATTGGTGCATAAGGGAAGAGTTAGTGATGTCATCTATTTGGGAGTTGTGCAAAGCATTTGACGCTGTTTGGAACAACATCCTTGTCACTTAACTGGAGACACAGATTTGACAGACAGACCATTCAGTGAGTAAGGAATTGGCTGGATGGTCACACTCAGAGGTGCAGTCAACAGTTCACCATCCAGGTGGAGATCAGTGATGGTGGGCATTCCTTAGGCCTTGTTTCTGAGACAGGCACTGTGTAACGCCTTTGTCAGGGACGTGGACAGTGGGATGAAGGACACCCTCAGCAAGTTCACTGACAGAACCAGGCTGTGTGGGGCAGTTGACACATGCAGGGAAGGGATGGCATCCAGAGGGACCTGGGCAGGCTTGAGAGCTGCACTAGTATGAAACTTATGAAATCAATAAGACCAAGCACAAGGTCCTACCCCTGGCTCAGGGCAACCCCCAGTATCAATATAGGCTGACTGAGAGCAGCCCTGCCAAGAAAGACCTGGGGATCCTGGTGGATGAAAAGCTGGACACATGCACTTTCAGTCCAGAACACCTCTCCTATAAAGACAGGTGGGGGGAGTTGAGGTTGCTCAGCCTGGAGAAGGCTCCAGGGAAACCTTCCAGTGACTGAATGGGGCCAAAAAGAAAGAAGACAGGCTGTTTACAAGTGCATGTAGTGATAGGAAAAAGGAAAATGGCCTTAAGATGAAAGAGAGTAGGTTTAGATTAGATATTAGGAAGAAATTCTTTATTGTGTAAGCACAGAGACACTGGAACAGGTTGCCCAGAGAAGTTCCAGATGCCCTGTCTGCAGAAAGGTTTCAGGCCAGGCTGGATGGGGCTTTGAGCAATCTGATCCTAGTGGATGCCATCCCTGCCTATGTCTGGGTTAGAACTACATGATGTTTAAGGTCCTTTCTAACCCAGGCCACTCTATGATTCTACAGTCTTAACAGAAAATAAAGCATTTTAAAAAACCCACTGTCTTACCTTAGTATCTGATCGTGGCAGTGTCTCTGTTCCTAGAAGCATTAACTTGCTCTGACACTTGGTAGAAAAGTAAAGAAATAAAGCACAAAGAAAGTTTGTTTACTCTTCTTTTTTGTAAGAACAAAACACCATTCTTAGAAATTTAAACATAACTTTTTTTAATATAGAAATAAAAGAATTTCAACTTGGATCCTTCCACATCCCTTATACCCTAGCCCAGAAGAGCAAATTAAGAAATGTTTGGAAATCATAGCACAGTAAAACAGAACTTAACTAACTCTGAAGGGGAAAAGTAGCAGCTAAAAAAAGATGTATCCTTTGAGTAAAAGGCAAGTTATGAGGGAAAAGTTCATATGGTGAAAGGCATTGAACAGATGAAGAACATGAGAAACTGGGAAGAGAATCATGGACAAGGCTGAACAGGGAAACTGCTGAGAAGTCAACACACATTCAGCTACTTTTTGGCTCTCTAAACAGAGCAATCATATCATAATACATATTTTTAGTTTTAAGTCATTTCGTATGTATACTGTACAGTTCAGGAGTGGTCAGATTTTTGCGAGCATACTACATCAGCTCTCATGACTGCAATGGGGTGTATATGCAGTGTGAAATTCAGGCCAGCACAAATATCCAAGGCATAAACAGGAGACACCTACTAAACTCTCTTTTTTTCTGTCGCCAATTTAACCTGCCCCATAACAAGGCAGGATGTATTCTACTAAGCAGTAGAATCACTAAGCAGTACTTTGGAAACCTTGCTGTTAACATCCAGATACAAAAACATTTTATAGGATTTCCTCCACAAAAACTCTTCAATGATGACACACAATCATTGGAACATTACATGTAACCATATAGTCTAGGAGCTAATTAAATGGCTATTAGTTTAAATCTTTTGCAGAAACATGAGTGCATCCAGGATGCAAAATCCAAATAATAAAAATTCTACTGTGTTCATCAACTTCCAAAAATAACACATCACTTCTTGTATTATTTTGGGCATGGTGGAAATGAGATAAAAGATATCAAGTATTTTCAGTTAAATTCAAAATAGGAAACATTCAGATTTCTCTTCTAATTTGAAAATTTCAAAGAAAGTTCAGGTCCTCCAATGTGGTGCCAAACAAAAGTTCAGAAACTGAGACACAGAATTCCCTGCCACTTGTTACATGCAAAATTGCCTGAATACTCAACAAAAAATAAATCTCATTAGTCTTTTTAAATCAACCAGTGTAAAATTATTGTATTGTCAGTTGTCTGTATTTTGTTTTACTTTAAGCTTGGAAATACTTTTACTTCAATTTCTGGTATTTTAATACCAGAATGCGAGCAAATAGCACATAAGTAGAATAAAAAATTGAGCGAAGCAATTAAGACTGAAAATATAATTTAGAACATGACTTTTCATCAGATTCAGCAGAATCTTAAAGGAAGAACAGTATTCCCTAAGAACTGACAGAAGTTTATATTTTCTGAGAATCCTGTAAATAAAAATAAACAGCCCTAAACTGTTATTTGTTAGCATATCATACTATTTATCAAGAGAAGAAATTTTAATCATGACAATGTAACTGTCAGTTTGCATAAGCCTAGGGAAACCTCACAGTCCGCCTCTGCCTCTCTCTCCTGTTACTCTCTCTCTCCTCTAAGATCCAAAGGACCTGTGAAATGGAATCCCATCTTTTGTGAGGCGAAAGACAGAAGGGTGTCTGTATTCTGGTACTACTGCAACACAAGTAAATTGTTAAATTTTCCATAATTCTAACATATACTCCCACACTAACTAAATCATAACATCAGCACATTGACGCTACAAGGCATTCTTCACCCCTGCCAGCAATTCTATGTTTGACCTCTCTAAAGATCTTATTTCCTTTTTCTGTTTGTGATTTTTGTTTGTTTGTTTGGATTCTTTGGTTGGTTCGTTGATTTGGTTTTATTGAAATGGTTTTTTTGCTGGGGTGGGGCAAACATGTAGTGAATAAAATAATACTGAAAAAGCTTTATAATAAACCTAGTCTCTCATTTATATTTGCATACCTCTTCCATCTGCTTCCAAAGACTTTCACATTCATTCAAGAGTTCTTCCTTGGCATCTACAGGACCAGCTGTATTAGTGATTTCTGACAAACATTCAGCCTATTAACAAGCAAATAGACCAGTTATCATTTAGATCTACAAAAACTGACCACTAAATCATACCTGCCACTTCAGATCAACTATGTAACAGAATAAGCTCCCTTACTCCAAAGCTTCTAGCTAGCTCCTCTATAGTTCTAGAAAGCACCCAGCCATTAAGCAAAATCAGCTAACTATATAACTAAGTTAAATTAGAAGACACTAATCATTTACTTTTAAAATTGAATGACAAAGTCCTAATTTTTCATAACTGATTTGATTATCTGCAATGGCTTCTTTATTTTCCAACAACTTTAATACAGAAAAAAATAAGAGAATCTCACATCTACAAAACCACACTTTACCTCCATATATCTGCAAAGTTTTTAAGCAGTTACTTCTGCTCTGTCAATAAATGTGCTAATCTATTTCTCCTTCATTTGAGTTCAGAATATTTTTGATTAACAAATCAATATGAGAAAAACAAACAAAAGCACCTGAAAGATACACAGAAAACCAAGGAAAGAGGGCACGTGGACAGCCAAAAGAAAAATCAACCCAAGTTAAATTAAAAACTTGAGAAACTGTCGGGTCAGAAAGAAATACATAAAAATTCATAAATTTAATTCTAGCTTTCTCACTTAAGAGATATCCGGATGACATCAGCGATTAACAGCGGAAAAATAAGACGGGCCAAATTTTTTTTTCCAGGGAAAACAACCAACAGGTTAGATGCAGGAAGCATTTAAAAATACCTTAGTGCATTGCTAAGCCCATCAAACACATAGAGATTAAACAGAATCATTAAAAATTGATAATGATCTAAAGAAGAATTACACTTCTCTACCTTCTTAATGAAGCACAAATTACTAACTCAATCGAGTATCTCCAGTGAGGGAGATGAGGGAGACTCCACAGCCTCTCTGGGCAATCTGTTCCAGTGCATGGTCACCTGCACAACTATAAAGTTCTTCCTCATGTCCAGGTGGAACTTCCTGGGCATCAGTGTCTGGCCATTATCTCTTGTCCTACTGCTCGGAATCACCGAGAAGAGCCTGAACCCATTCTCTTGGCACTGTCCCTCCATAAACTTCCACATATTTGGAGGGCGAAATGCATCACGTGACCAAGTACAAATCGACCAGTAGCGGGAAAACGGTTAAGGAGGGGAGGGGAAACTCACAACTTTGTGCAAGAGATGCGAAGGCACCTTAGGAAGCAAAATATCGGCAGGGTACAAACAACATCGCAAAAGCGGTGAGAGAGGGAGCCCCCGCGCCCCCGACGAGAACCCCTGCAGCACAACGGCGGGAGGACGTGAGGCGGGATATGCCCGCTCACAGGCGAGGAATGAACGTCGCCCCTTCCCAGCCAGGAAGCCAGCGCTCTCCCTGCCAAGCAGCACCTCCCTGCCCCAAAGTGTTGGAGCGCCGGGATTCCCCCCGAACCGCCCGGCATGCTCCCCCCGCTCCTCCCGCCCGTTACTACCATGTTCGCTTCGCGCCGTCCGTTGCTCCGCCCCTACGTCATTCGCAGAGCGCCCGGCGCGGCGCAGTGACGTTGACACCATGGCGTCCGGCGAGCCCGAGCGCAAGCGAAAGGTGCCGGAGGAGGAGGCGGACGGCGGGGATCCGGCGGCAGCGGACGAGGAGGATGAGGAAGAGCGTTGGGTCGGCCCGCTCCCGGGGGAGGCCGCGCAGACGAAGAAGAGGAGAGGTAAGGGAAGGAACGGAGCTCTGCCCCGACTTGGGGTCGGTGCGGTAGGATCGCCTCCAGGCCCTGCCGGGCGGGAGCAGCCGCGGGGTTGGGGGCAGCTATCGGGAGCCCGTATCCTGAAGCTGTCTTTATGTAAAATGAGCATACTGGGGGAAAGCCTTCAGGTGCATAGTTACAGGGTGCCAGGTGCTGAGAAAGTTGTGGTCGTTCAGTCTGGAGAAGAGGTTACGTGGAGACCTCATAGCAGCGTTCCAGTATCTAAAAGGATTTGCTAGTAAACCGGATTCGGACCCTTCCACAGGAACTGTAGTGATAGCACCAAGACTAATTGGTGCAAATTGAAAGAAGAGGAATTCAGGTCAGCTGTAAGGAAAATATTCTTTACTGTGAGGTTGACCAGTGATTTTTTGGGTGCACCAACCCTGGCAGTGTTCAAAGCCAGGCTGAATAAGGCTTTGGGCAACTTGGTCAAGTAGGAGGGGGCTTGGGACTAGGTGGTATTTAAGACTAATTCTAGCCCCTTAATATTCTACTATTCTAAGACTTTTGTTTCCTTTGGAGGACACTTTCATGGTAAGAGCCCTTCTGTGCAGGCTGAAGCTGTGCTGTTTACAGATGTGGAGATAATCACTGCCTTAAGTTGTAGCATCATGAGAAGCCTCTAGGCTGTATTTTGGCATGTGGTGTTGATGTGTGCAGCAACTACCAGCTCTCTGGGTATTGCTTTAAGTTTTCTTTAAGTAAAGGAAACGATATTCAGCAGATGTAAACATGCAAGTTCAGTAAAAAATACTGTTGCACGGGTGTTAACAAGTAGGATCTAAAAATCAGAAACAAAATGCAAAATCAGATTATTTTAGGTCAGCCAGTTATGCAATGAAATAGACAGATACCAGTCCTTAGAATTTAGACTACATTTAGACTGCAGACTACGTGTGTGGGACCACGGATCTCGTATAAACAGCAGGGATACATGTGGTTTTACAGTAAAATGGTGTTCAGTTGACCTTCTGTTTTCTGTTGGTAACTTAAAAGCTGTTAATTGATTTTGGTTTTTTTTTGAAACAGTAAGACACGGTAGCAATTGCTTTAAAAGGGAGGAGCAATATGCAGCATTTGAGTGGCTTTAGTCCATGGAAAATGTGTAAGTCTGAGTACAAAGCTGGAGCTAAAAGCACTTTAATTATGTTTGCATAAAATCCTGCGTATTTTTGGCTGAAATATGAAAAAGCAATACCAAGATAAGTAGAAGAGAACAAAATGTAGATGTAACTTCATGGGGGAAAAAAATCCAGATTTTTCTTTTTATTCCGTGTAGTTCTTGAATTCGAACATGTTTATCTTGAAAATCTACCATCGGCTTCGATGTATGAACGCAGTTACATGCACAGAGATGTTATTACACACGTAGCATGTACAAAGTAAGTATTTTTATTTTCCGTTGTATTGGAAAGTTAAAGTGTCCTGAGGTGGTTTTTAAAGGGTAGTGGGCTTTTTTAAAAAACTAAGTGGCTTACCTAGAAGCAAGATATAAGTTGTTTTTATAGGCTAAAGGAGGGTCTTAAAATCCTTGCTAAAATATTCGGGAAATACAGGAATAAGATTGATTTACTCCCTCTGAAAAAATACCATTCACCAGAACTGCAGAAATCACACACACACACACACACACACACACACACACATACACATACATACACATAGTAACTACTGTGAAACAAGATGTAAAATAGGAGTTATATTTACATATTCAAAAAGAATAGTGTTATATGTTTCTTCCGTTTAGACTATGACTTTTCATAGATTAATCCAGAATGCACTAAAATACCTGTTTGGTTTTTCCAAGAGTTATAGTACCTATCCAGACAAACTGTCATAGTAGTTTCTGGAGATTTTGTTCTCTGCACAGTGTTAATTCTAGTACAAATTACTGACCAGTGGGAAGGTGCGTAATGTGTGCATCTGTTTTCTTGGTTTTATTTTTCTTTTGTAATTGTAGGACAGATTTTATCATAACAGCCAGTCATGATGGACATGTAAAATTCTGGAAGAAAATAGAAGAAGGGATTGAGTTTGTTAAACACTTCCGAAGTCACTTGGGTGAGAAGTTACTCTTTCTTATTTAAAGGACGTCACTCTTTCCTCTCCATTGCTCTTTGTTGTTTGAAGAGAGAGTGCAAACAGAGAGAGAGATTCTGGTGTTCCTTTAGTGCAGTCAGAGATTAAAGGATATCTAGCAATCTTCCTTTTATTCCTCTGTCCTGTTAAATTTTGCTCTCAAGCTCTAGCAGGGATAGAATGAAAATGAAACATGTGGGACTCTGCTTGCACAGATCCCCTACAGCCTTTGCATTGCCTTGTGCCTTGCTTGTGGGGAGAATATCTGGGACAAAAGTGAACAAGATACATAAAAGTGTTCATAAAATTCAGAGAAGTTTAAAAACATATTGCTTTAAATAAGGATACCTCAGTCTTATTTTTTCCCTTATAGTCCCGGGAAAAAATAGTTACTTTCATTTGGAATAACTAACTGTAAATTCTGCATTATTGTTATAATTGTCAAATGATTTGCAATAATGAGGAACTTTAACCCTATTTTCTGAGCTAATAAGTACACAAAGCTTTTCAACACTATGCCACTATGCTAAGCATTAAACAGGCTGGACAGAAAATTATGTTCTCAATGGTGTTAGAAATTATGATATGCCTGAAGGAAAAAGATCCGTTTTGAAATGCAGAATGTTACAGTAAGAAAAATATTTAGTAATAGGTAGTAAAAGTATGGTTTCCTTTCAGAGTTACAAGGAATGTTAAAGTCTGTTTTTGATCTTAACTATCAGCTTCTTGTTATATATAGAAGAAAAAAGTGGTAACAAAACCTACCATGTGAAAATCAGCATTTTGAGAACTTTATGGAAGGTTCAATTGCAGAATAGTTTTGAGTATTGTGGGTGTAATAGTTTGTAGAGTTCTGCTGCTTTTACTCTGTTGAGAGATAAAAGCTGAAGAGCACATGATGTTTACCCTATCATAATGTTCTCAATTTTCGAAAATCGTTACAACATTTTAAACTGAACTTACTGCCCTTACAATCTTCTACTATATTTTTGGTAAATTGTTCATTACAACATACCTGAGTCTAAACACTGAAAGGCTATAAAGTGTTGTTTTGTTTTGTGAATTTTTTTTTTTTAAGTATTTTATTGAAGCCCAGTAGAGTTTTAAATGGAAAAGGTGGCAAAACAGTTGGGAAACAGGTTTAAACTTCTGTATGTTTTCCCTGTGTAAAACTGGAATGCAGGATGTCCTTTCTATTTCTTAATAGTACCTCAACTTATTTCACAGGTGTTATTGAGAGTATTGCTGTTAGTTCAGAGGGAGCATTATTCTGTTCAGTTGGAGATGACAAAGCAATGAAGGTGTTTGATGTAGTCAACTTTGACATGATCAACATGCTGAAACTTGGGTAAGTTACTTAGTTCTTGGAAATGTTCATTTGAGATTAACAGTGGGGGTTGTTTTGCTAAGAGATAAGCCAGTAATTTGGGTTTCTTGCATTCTTCCCCTTCCCCCATTCCCCAGTCAGATGAAGTTGAGTAAATTGCATTGTCTGAAATTAATCCAATGGCTAGAGACTGCCTGACTGAATAGAAAAAATTGCTACTGCAGCAGTACAAGAGTGGAATAGGAAAGAAGCTTCCTCGGTGTTAAATATTATCCACAAAGATGTGGGGTATCTTTGAGTATTTAGCTAAGCATGATTTCTTTCTGTTGTTTGGCACTGAATTTAAAAATTACAGTCTATTAGTAGTTCCATTAGAGAAGGGATTTGGCCCGTATGTATTGTCTTGTTGTCATAGGGATAAAAGTTCCTTTTTCCACTAGAAGCTATATTATTGTTTTCTTTAGTCTTGTAGCATTTTGTAGTTACACAGTATGTAGCTAAAGGATCTAGGAGAAACAGTAATGGATGTTACTGGCATTATAACAATGCCAGAGAAAAAACTCCCACTGTTAAAAAGGTGGATGTGAAGAGCTGGAGGATCAATGAATGCTGCATCAAGAACAGTAGAAATCCTGATTTCTCCACAAGCCTTTTAGGATTGGAAAACATATTCTTCATAGTCTATGATGTATTCGTTAATTTTGGAACTGAATAGAAATACAAAGTTAGGGAAAAAAGCTTTTACATAGGAACATCTAATAAAAGCATATGCTATCTGCTATGTTTGTTGTAGTTTCAGTATCATCCTCCGCATAATGTACTTCACCTATAGGAATTGATTCCCTCTTGTTCTGGAAAATTAAGCTTAATCTTTTTGGTTTTGCTGTTATTTTTAACATAGCAGCCCTGTACTGTTACTACATAATTGGTAAAATTATAGAAAAATAAAATAATATTCCAAAAAGCACCCCTGATCTTCAGAGCTTTCCAGTTCTAACTAATCTATACACTGTGGCTCTGTGCAAATCTCCATGCTTTATGCTGTCATCTATGATATGGAGAAGATTGGTTATTTCTGTAGAAACTTCATATTTATTTATTTGATCCTGTTCTTTCTTATGAGCCTGAGATGAAGTTTTGTTTCTGTTTACTGACAGACATTGTAAATCCAAATATTGGTGTCTATCATAATGTCAGAGTATCATCAATCCATCAGTTTCTGTTAGTTTGATTTGCAAAAGGATACTAAACATGAGTTTCCTATAGAGAATGCATCATTTTTTGGATGTTTGCCATTTCGTTTCAGTTTTAGTTTTCAGAATCTTTGCTTACAGACTTTAAAACAGACATA